GAATCATAGCTCCACAGATCAGCCAGAGGGAAGGTTCTCTAAGAGTAACAAATCTTTTCTGTTGCAACATGCTTTTTCTAGAAGCTTTTTGTCATTCTGGCAGTAAACTGTTTTCCATTCGCTGCCTTAGCAACAAGACCTGAATTCACTTCCCTTCCAGTGTGGTTTGATTATAAGAGCACTAACATTGTACCTGGAACTAGAAGAAAAATTTCATACTAGGGAAACCCACAGATATTACCTGCTTTTAGGTTGGAGAATTATTTATATACATTCTTAGTATGTCCTTGAGAGGAAAAGTCCAATAGGAAATCATAGAAATGATGAATCCAAATCCCACACGGTCCCAAGTCCCTCGTAAATGCTATAGTTCAAGTTTTTGTTCCGTCACTGCATCTGTCCACAGCTAAGAACAGGTTTTCTCCCTACAGTTCTCTGCGGCCACCTCAGAGAGCGCACCAAAATGTTAGGCATCCCTTCTCATGCAAGAGTCTTAGGCTAGCGCTTGTTTTCTCAAGAGTCTTTGTTTAACCCAAGAACATGAAGTCCACTTTGAGAATAAAACTTTGTTTACCAAAGAATAGAATTCTGATGGGTTGTGGCTTTATTTGATCCCATGAGAGCCCATTTAAATATTTCTTATGGAATTCAATTTTATCTTGTAGTAGAAACTGCTACAAATAGGCTTATCCTCCACCAGAATCAGAGACTAAAGAATAAATATCAAGGGTTTAAAGTAGGAATGTACAAGTTGCTGTTTGTTTCTGTTTTCTTTAGGATGTTAAAGATGTAATGTTTATGACTTAGAAATTAAACCTGGTAGCATCCTGATAAGAAAAGATGGAATATAGGTTAAGAATATGAATTTGTACCTTCCCAGAGCAAGCAGGGAATGCAGTGAAACCTCCAAAGCAAAATTCCTGTAGGTCACAGTATTATGATATCTACTGTTAGGAAATCCTATTTTCCTTAAACTTTTAGGGTTTGCACAAAAAGGAAATTCTTCTGTGGGTGTGGGTTGCTGGACCAAATATGGGCAGAGGATTCTTGCCTTGCCTTCTCGTGCATAGCTGAGTCAGGTGAAGGGTATTATAAATAGGCTTTTCTAAAGATTAGGGTCTTGAAGTGGGAAATACTGTAGAGCCAGGTCATCTTCTTACTGTGGCCCTCAGTGCCTTCGCTCTCATGCCCCACGAGCAAGGGCGAGGCCCTGTCTGTGTTCTTGAAGTCTGCCCTTGGGCCTGCCTCCTTACAGACTACCATTTTAGCATCCACAGTTAAGCATTCTTACCCAGACAGCCAGTTTTCTTAAAGTTCACACAAAGACCTTCTGTACCCAATGATCTACTCTTTAAATTCCTATTTAAAGATATCCCATTCTGCCAAGCCCTGCATTAGACATGTTACATGCTTACCTCATTTAAATGTCCTAAAAGGTCTCTGTTACCAACCTCTCTTTATAGAGAAAGAAACGAAAGCTTAAAAAGGTTTAAAGCACCCCCCCCCCCCCAAGTGACAGCAAATTAAATGATGGGGCTGGGCTACAAACCTGGCTCTGTTAGATTCTAAAGCACATTCCTCAAAACTCCATGGTGCCTTTCAATTTTAGAGTGCCTTTAGATTTCATTTGATTAAAAAAAGACAGGACCTGTTTTCACTCACACTATCATAGCTCCTAGAAACTTCTGCATTGAAACATCCTTTTCCAAACCATGTTCAGGATCCAGTCTTTGTCAGTAACGAGAAGACAACTAACATAGGGAAGGGAGGAGAATTTTGGAAACAGACTGTCACACCAGGGCTCCTGTGGACAGCACTCACCCTCACAAGAAATGGCCCGTCTGTTGCATATCTGCCTGCCTTAGCACTGTTGAAGGTTTAATTATCTTTCAACTGTCTGATCTGCTTTGAGGACCTCGGAGAGAACAAAAGTGGCTGTTACATTTTTCAGCAGTGCTTTCTCTGAACACAGATGAAGTCACGAGCTGTCACTGCCCTGATTATGAGGTTAAATCAGAGTCTGACTGTGCATTGGTGAGATGATGTTGAAAGGAAAAAAATTAATCTTAAACTTTGCCTCTTATTCAAAAATTTGCGACAGAAAAAAATATGGTAGTTACTTCTCTGGTTTAGATGTTATGACCCAGAGCAAGTTTTGCTTTGTTTTTCAAGAAAAGTAAAATGGTGAGAGAGGACTCTTTTCCAACTCCATCGGTTGGCTTTTCAATATAACTTCCCTTCTGCCTGGGGAGGCTCCATTGTGAGGCCTATTAAGAAAGTCTGTGCTATCTCCTCCCCCCACCCCCAGCCCAGAGACACTGCTCATGGATCAGGGCCCCCTCCACTTGAGCTGCACAGAGGACCTCGAAGTTCGCAATGTAGAGCTCCAGGCCACCTTGCCGGTTGCGAAGTTGGGGGATGAGTTGAAGCCTATTTGCTAGTTCTAGTTGAGATTCTCAGTAAAGGACAAAGTCCTATGCCAGCAGCTCCTTGCTGGAGAAAAGGAGCATGGTTTCTTGACTTTGTTACCATTTTTAAAAATGTGTGTTTGAATAGGGACTTTATGCCGTTTTTGTAAATTATGCTGTAATTTTTGCAGACTTATAACGTATTATAGAAGTAGAATAATTAAACTTGTTATGAGCATTACATAGAAATGGCTAATCGAGAAGTGTAATATACAGTGGTGAATTGCTAATTTGACCTCAGGATTATGCAGCAGAGATAACATTATCTTCATTTATATAGAACTGTTTATCTGGAGGCATCTCTCGTGCTTTTCCAGCCATAAGTATTATCTTGTTTGTTATCACAAACACTATCATTAAGGCTGTGAAATTTATTCCAGTACAATTTTTATTTTCAGTTTCTTCTAATTAGGGAACTAGGGAAAGGAAGGTTGCGTATTTTCTCCAATTCCTGACATTCACACCAGGATAAATTTTGGGAAATGACTATTACCTAAACTTGGAGAACTTGATTCTATATATCATGTTTTAAAAAGAGGGAAAGGGAGGGGGATCATACTGCATCCCCTAGTCATTGGGACTGTTAACCTTGAGAACTGCCAAGGGGAAAGGCCCTGTTGGTTGCTGTCTGGCTCCTCTGCCTTGCACAGTATTGGGAGAGCTGTCTCCCCTCTGGTGGAGGCTTGACCTCGGGAGCAGGAGAGTGGTCTGATCAAATTGCACCAAACCACATCCCTCCATCCCCTCCACGCTGCAGACTGCAGCACTCAGGCTATCACGATCATGAGCAGCTACAAATGCTATGGTGGTTATGTTTCTGTGGTTTTAAGGAAATGGACAAAATTAGATTCAGACCAAGGTGCCAGCCTTAACACACCCCTTCCCTTCCAGAAAGCCCAGTGTCACCGTTAGCAGTAAAGAACAACGCAGTCTGTTCTACCCACACCATCTAGACTTTCTTTTAAAGGAACCCATCCAAACCCAGGAAATTCAGCACCTTCTATCTACCTTGAGGGCTGAAGAAAACGGATCAGGGCCAGCCTCCTGCTTCACCAGAGGGCTCTGGTGATGGACCAGTTGCCCTGGCGCTCCACACGGGAAGCACAGTGTCTCCCGCAATGGCTGTGGGATGCTGAAAGGCCAGTCCAGGAGATGGCATTTATATTGGTTATGAAGATGAGTGATCAGCTCGTGTCAAGGAACAGATGGCTAAATGAGGTGCACGGGAATGCTGTGAGATTCAGGCTTGAAGAAACAGGAGGGAAAATAGCCCATGATATAAAACCCCCAAATCTAGTCTCCTTAATGAGAATTTTTAAAATCGGCATTTATGTTATACAGTTAACATAGAGTGATGAGAAATGTAAGGAAATTACCGAATTAGTGAACAGCGATTAACTCAGAAGTAAAATTGTATCATGTTGAAGGTTGCTTTACACAGTGGAGAGAGGATATTGCTGAACCCTGGCCTGGTCTGTCATCTTCTAATTGAAATCTGTGCGTTTAATATGCCCTGTCCTACAGAGTGCATGGTTCATAATTTGGGAGAGCATCATCAGTTGATCTAGTTATTTTTCCTGGTTCTTCCTTTGAATTCCAGTAAGAATGTGGTACATTCCCCGTGTGGCACTCAGAAGAACGAATTTGTCTGTTCATTAACCTGTGAACTGTCAGGTCCCTTTGGAGATTGAAAGGAGCAAGTCACTCCAAGGTTAATGCTTGTTTGTTGGAGGTGAAGCCTCCAGGGAGATACAGAGGGGGAACAGGCCAAGATGCTCAAGACCTGCCCTGTGAAACTCTGCACTGTGTGCAGGTGTCAGACCCGGGTGGTCCAGAGGGAGGTGCAGAGCAGGCTGGGTCACCTCTGCAGATCACTTCGAGTCAGGAGAAGGCTTCTCAGTAGTAAAGGCAGGGTGTGTAGAGGGCGGGGGTGGGGGTGGGGGGAGGGGGATGGAGGAGGGGATAATTTCCCAACAACGATTTGGGAGTAGTATTAAAATACAAGAAACTGTGAGTGTTTTCCAGTGGTTTTGTGGATGTTTCTTTTAAGCAAGAAAGCAATATTGATTTCATGTATTTGTCTCCAATGGATGAAAACTTTCATTGAATTAGAAAGTGTTTGATTTTCTATGTGTTTGTGCACCTGTGTACAGGCATATTCCTAACCACAGACAAAGATAGAAGCGGTTTGTTATTCTCTAGCGTAAATGTCTCATGGATGCATAGTTGTGCTGAAGTTCAGGATTTGAGCTGAACAGTACATGGTTTGATTTTCTAGGTAAATAAAATCTTAAGTCCTATTTAATTCTCTGGAAAGTGCTATCTTCTTAATTTTGATGTAATTTTCCTAAGGCTCAGTTGCAGCTAGCCCTAAGGAGCAGGTACAGGGTTTGAAGTCAAGTTCAAAGTCTCCTTTAGTCCAGGCCTTGGTACACTGTATGTTTATGTAATATACCTTACGCTGTTATTTTTGGATTGGTTGTGATGGAAGCTCGCTTTCTTCAACAAACATTCTTTTCTTTTTACCCTCAGATATATTCGAATAGTTGGGACTCACAACACAGTGAACAAGATTTTTCACATCGTGGCTTTTGAATGCATGTTTACAAACCAAACCTTCACTCTTGAGAAGGGCCTGATAGGTAAGTGTTACAGCTACATTTTGTACATCTGCTTAGATATTTTATTTTCAAGTATTTTTTTAATTCCCTTGCCTCATCTCTTAACCAGCTTTGACTAATAAATTTGGTTGGTTTGAATTAGAAGTCAAAATAATACCAGTAAACTTAAAAGAATATCAACATTTTTCTAATAGTTAATAATTGAAATGTTCTAATGATTTGTTCAGATTTGCTATGTGGGGAATGCTTATGACAGCTGGGCAAAGCCTTTCATACCGAAGTCTTTTCTGTACTTAATGGTAGTAAGATCAGGGAGGAGGTCTGTATAACAGTGATCCAGTGCTCATACTTTCCAAGGCTATGCACTTAATTTTGGCATTGATTTGGTATGAATGTATGTTCTTTTCCGTCTGTATTTGCCCTGTTTAGCCAAGTTCATCTTACAAAAATGGTTTTAAATTCATTATGGATTTGAATAAGACCAAAGTAACTGAATTGTCATTGTGAAAATCAGGTTACCTTGTGGGAAGTACTTCCTGATTGATCTTTCCAAAAGGTATATTTTAAAATTTGGTTATTTGGTTGCTTTCTGTTGTGTTTTGTACTTGTTTTAGGTACTATGTGGTCTGGCATTGTGTACAGTCCCACCAGGTTTTGTCATTCTAGATGTCATGAGTAGCTTTTCCTTTATGTTCCTTTCCCCCATGCCCACAGGTTTTTACTCTGCTCTCACCAGGATCATGGTTTGACTAATTAGATTCTTAAATCTGTGCCTTTATCGTAGCCTCATGGAACATGCATGCTAGGGGTCCAGGTGGGGAATGAAATGTCCCTGCAAAATAGAAGTTTTTGCCTTCACAAATGACACATTTCTCCTCCCTTTCTCAAGTCCTGTCCATGCTGGGACACAGCATAGTGACAGAGATCCTAAAATCTCAGCAGTGACTAGATGGGAAAGACAAGTATAACTTGCAAATGCTTTCTAGTTCTTTTGTCATCAGTCTACATTTTCCTAACGCCTGCTATCCCCTAAATGTAATCCTTTATCATGGAAATATAGGAGAGTAGTATTAATAAAACAGAAGAACTAGAAATTATTCCGACTCAGAGAACTTTTAGAGCTCAACTAAAATAAATAATTTGGTTTTAAGTTTGTTATGGATATGGGTTTTTTATATAAATGTTAATAGTTTTTGTAACTTAAGTAATTTTAAAACTAACAGTGCTAAAGCCTTACCTAATGTTATCAAGGTTTTGAGTTTTGTAGTGGAATATTGGTGATGGGGCTATAGGGAGGGTTCAGTTCTTCTCCAGGTTCTTTCATAGACTTCAGGCCTTATAGTTTGTGGTTATGGCAGTCCCTCTTGGGAAGAATCTGAGAAATAAGACCACCTTCATAGTCTTAAGATGTGTAGCATTTGTCTATTCATTTCAACCCAGTGCACTGCAGTTTTGAACGTACTGCATAGAAGTTGCCACCTATTTTTAAAAGGACCCCATTTTTATTGGAGAAAGAACAAATTTGTGGACACGGTAATTATCGAAGAAACAAGACGATCTGGCATAAGAGGCTGTTACAGGAATTAAACTCAGAATTACTTGTAGTGAGGGGTGCTGTTCTTGGTCTGTGTGGTGTCTACACTGAACTAGTCAGCATAGTCTGAAGCCATGATAGTCTCAGGTGTGTCAGGGTGAGAGAAGACTACAGAGATGCAAGAAGTGTTTTTGGTGTCTGGTCGAACACTTTACATCATGCCCTTTCTGTGGTGCTCACAAGCCTGACTGCGAAGAACACTGCAGTCATCTGCCTATCATCCCTCCTCAGCCAGATGGGAGCAGTGGTGCAGGTGGGCAGGTGTGTGGTGCACATAAGGGCAGGTGATCTGCAGTGAGATCCCGTCTGGTCCTCCTCCTGCTATCTTCATAGCTCACAGCTGCCCCCATGCTGGGCAAGCGGGGAAGTGTGTGAATCCTGAGGGTGTACCTGTCTGACATGGTAGCTCTGCGTAGTTGAAAGGGGTGTTTGAAATAGTAATTGCCAGCCTTCCATGTGATAACTTTTGGCAAGCACACAGGTCTCAGCCAGCCACTCTACAGAAGGCTTGGAGTAAGGAGTGACCCTCTAATGAGGACAAAGTGAGTGTCAGAACCACTCGGAGTTACTTCTAAATTGTAGCTGACAACTGCTTATTCCTCCCCACATCCTGTGAAATGTGCACTCCTCCCTGAGAACCACTCATACAAACTCCAGGTTCTCATGAGGGGAAAAGAGCAAAATTAAAATAATGTCTTTGTGAATAGGGTATCAAACCCTACTTGGATGTTTCAAGATTCAGAACTTATTTCTTTCATAGTTTGTGGTCATTGTTTCATAGTGTTGGTTACTCGAATTAGAGGAGTACTCTCCTTATACACCTTAAAATTACTTTAAAAATGTTTGCGTTTTTTTAAAATCAGTTTTTAATATTATTACTTAAAATGTATAATGATTCCAGGAAACACATAAATAAAAATAAATGACATTTGCGCGATAAGATTTTAGTCTTCTTCTACCAAAGGGTTTTTGACCCATTTTTGTTGACAGCATGTCATTCTTCATGCTGCACTTTTACAGGTTCATGGGGAACCTTGGAAGTTGTGTGGGCTCATGTATTTATGGGAACTTCAACTACACTGACCAGTTCTGAGTGTCAGACTCCCTCCCAGCATGCTCCCACCTCATCCTCTCCATGCGGTGGCTGCTTTTGGACCATGCTGGGAAGTATTCTCACCTGGGAGTCAGCCTGTGATGACTATCTTCTTTTCTTTTCTTTTCTTTTTAAATATATTTTTATTGATTTTTATACAGAGAGAAAGGGAGAGAGATAGAGAGATAGAAACATCGATGAGAGAGAGTCATCGATCAGCTGCCTCCTGCACACCCCCTACTGGGGATATGCCCACAACCAAGGTACATGCCCTTGACCGGAATCGAACCCGGGACCCTTCAGTCCCCAAGCCGATGCTCTATCCATTGAGCCAAACCGGTCCCGGCGACTGTCTTCTTTTCATTAGGAGTATCTTCCTATATAATAAAAGGCTAATATGCAAATCGAATGGCAGAACAATTGGTCACTATGATGCACACTGACAACCAGGGGGCAGACGCTCAATGCAAGGAGCTGCCCCCTAGTGGTCATTACGTTCCCATAGGGAGCACTGCTCAGCCAGAAGCCAGGCTCATGGCTGGCAAGTGCAGCGGCAGTGGTAGTGGCAGGAACCTCTCCTGCCACCAAGGCAGTGCTAAGGACCCCTCGGGGGATGTTCACCTGCCAGCTTAGGCCCGCTCTTTCGGGGTCCCAGACTGCAAGAGGGCACAGGCCAGGCTGAGGGACTCTCCCCTCCACCCCCCACCCATGCACAAATGTTGTATATCCGGCCTCAAGTCTATATATATAAAAGCCTAAACAACTGGCCGACCATTTGATTGGCTGGTAGCTATGACATGCACTGACCACCAGGGGGGACAGATGCACATCCAGAACCAGAGAGGAGGGAGTTCGATTCCAAGGTACCGTATTTTCCGGCGTATAAGACGACTTTTGAAATGAAAAAAAGTCAACCGAAAATCGGGGGCAAAAGACCAAAATTGCACAAAAATTACCTGCAGATCTTGACGGCAAAGTAAGTCTTTTCTTTGAAGTGGAGGGTAGTCTTATACAGCGAATATAGGCCTAAACCTATGTTTTAACTGTAAAATTAGGGGGTCGTCTTATACACCGGAAAATATGGGTACATCACCCAAGAACCGCCCTCTCACAATCTGGGACTCCCTCATGGGATGTTGGAAAATCAGTCTGGGCCCAGTCCCTGCAGGCCAGGCCGAGGGACCCCACCGATGCACGAATCCATGCACCAGGCTTCTAGTAGTACATAGGAGTGTGAACCTGTCTTAATAGTGAGCCATGGAAGCAATATTAGAATAGATATGACTGCTATTTTGTAAGCATTCAGCCTCCCAAAGAATGTGTCTGTTTTGCCTTGGCACTACACTTTCTGTGCCAAGTCCTTCCACTTTTTCATAAGCATTGCCAAAATTTCTTTGCATTTAATCTAATATTTATTTATTTATTTCTAGTTTTTTAATTATGTTTTATTGCTTTTTTTACAGAGGAAGGGAGAGGGATATAGAGTTAGAAACATTGGTGAGAAAGAAACATGGATCAACTGCCTTAATCTCGTATTTAAATTCACATTGAATAACCTATTAGTTATTCAGATAGACCAGTAATCACCACCCAGCTTAAAGAACTATCAGCTCATGGATGGACAACTTAGTTTATCTATACGTTGCCTACTTCCTCCCCATCAGATTATTTTTAAGGCAATCCCCAGCCTTTTTTTTTTTCATTTTATTCATAAATATTTCAAAATGTATCTCTAAAAGTAAGGACTCCTTTTTGTAACCGTAATTATAATCCTATACAATAAAAGGCTAATATGCAATTGTCCCCTTGACTGGCCAACTGCCCACAGCACCTCCCCCCATCTGGCCCCTCTCCTGTTTGGCCCCCAATCTGATTGGGAGTGGAACCAGCTGGCCGACTTCCCTTGTCCCCTCCCCCTGGCTGGCAGGGCCCCACCCATGCACAAATTCATACACTGGGCCTTTAGTATTATTATAATACCACAAAATTGAATATTAATTCTTTATGAGTATTTAATATTCAGAGTTCAATTGTCCCTAGTTGAGTGAAAGTCTGGAGTTAATGTATGTGTTTTTATAGGTTGTTTAAATCAGAATTCAGATGAAATCTGTACTCTCAATAAATAGCTGTTACGACTCTCGAATCTCTTTCTCTCCAGTTTATTTGTTAAAGAAACTAAGTTTTTATCTTGTAGAGTTTCTAACAGCCTGAATTTTGGTGATTAAATCCCCATGGTAGTATCAACATGTTTCTCTCTTATGCTTCTTGTAACTTGGTAGAGGATTAATCTGATTCAAGTTTTATTTATTTATTTATTTTTTAATATATTTTATT